CTATATTTTTCAGACTTTATATTAAATTGATATCTATAAACTAGTGATTTATAATTGAGAACAATATCAAAGCAAAAATTTGTATAATTATCTAAATTTGGAAAGCATTACCAAGAATGGAAAAAAATTTTAAGATTTTTATTCTTAAAATGAGATAAATTAAAAATTTAGAAATTTGAACCAAATATTGTAAGTAATTTCATACTTATTATTTTCCCCATGCTCATTAACAAGTGACATTTGTAATAATTTATATTCCTTGTTTAATATATGCATGTATTTTTCCAACTATTAAAGATTACACAACACTGTTACAGTTCAGTTCCCATAAACTAGAAGCAAAAACCAAATGTAATTTACTTTGAAACCTCTGACAATTAACTTCAGTTCATTTGAAAGCAACAGATGATGGATTCATGCTCTATTATGTTTTTGGAGTCAATAAATAATAGCAAACCAGTAATTTTACAGTTGAAAGATGCCAAACAAGTTGCCTTTGTGTAACATGCAATAACCAAGTGCTCCAATGATAGAATGAAAGTATTACAGCTTAATGAACAATTCTGAAGTCTTTTAAATTGTAAATACCATTTGTAAATTAGTGAAATTATCCTTCAGTTATCTACTCAATTTACAAAACAGAAAATATAATACACACAAAGATATAAAGTATAGTTTTATAATTAGGATGAATAACTAATGTTACTCAATAGGTAAAAAGTGACACTGATACTCTTTGAATTATATAATTCTCTTTTTTCTGGACAAGAAAAAATATACAATTCAGCTTGAAGATCATATTTTCTTTGGCATCAATATTTTGTTATTAAAGAATGAGCCATTTAACAATTATTCCACACTGTAAAGTGATGGCTTATTTATTTAAATCACTTTCCACATGGTGTAAGATTTTAAATAAGAAAAAATTCCCATAGATGAATGACTTCAAAGGTTTGCTTAGTGTATTAAAGATAATGACACTTTAAAAATCTTTCATGATAGACTATGAATTAGGTCTGGCCAACTAACAGGTAACAAATAACACCCAAAATACATTCAGCACTAAGTAAACAGCACATTTCTTGTCAGCTGTTACTAATACTTTTTAATATTATGTCACCAATAATATTGTTTGCAACAAAACCAAAAAAGAATTTTGTTAAAAAGAAAAGAAAACAGATTGGGAGATATAAATTTGATTGTAGCCTCAAAAGCTCTAAGTTTAAAAAGTGCAATAACCAAGTAGCAAAAATTTTAATACTCAAATTCTCATGGTATTTCAATTTAAGTTGATGCAGCATCCAAAACTGAGCATAAAATGACTATAAATGACTATTAGGAAAGGGGTAGCCTGAATGTAAATTGCTCGATATTGAATATAAACTTTGGCATTAAAACTTGAAGAAATTATACTCCCTTGCCTTAGGTATAGAGAGAAAAAAAGAATGTTCTTGAACTGGTATATCAACATTACAAGCTAAAAAGATTAAAAGTTATTTGTCAATAATTATCTGGGATAGAAAACACTTCTGGAAAAAAAAAAATACAAAAAAAAATTATTAATCCAATAAGAAACAAGCAAAACTTTCAGATGCAAACAGAATTAAACACTGAGGAAATTAAGTGTAACTCGGATATAAGAGAGTTGTCGGGGCCGGAGAAGAAGTCTCTTATATCCGGGTTTGGTCTATTTTATATACATTAACACAGGCTCTAATTTGGGACCAGAGAAAATCTCTTATATCCAGGTTACACTGTATCACCGGAAAATTTCTCTACTAAAAAAATGTGATGAATCGTAAGGTACATGACATGCCTTTTCTCTAGTAAAGATCTTTGTCCTCCAATATTAAATTTGCATAAGAACATTTTCTTCACAACTCCTGCATATTATTCATGCCCCTTCAGAAGTAAGAACAATTCTTGCTATTCAATTGAGTTAAATATCCATTTTTTTTTAGCAATTACAAACAGAATATAACTACTTGTTAAATAGAGGTGCAATTGCAGAGACAAACACGAGTGGAAGAAAGGAAAAGTTGAAAGAATACTTTTTTCTTTTTTCTTTTTTTTATTTGACAGAAAACAAAATCCAGAAGTAGTTGTTTTGATTTCATCGTTGATCTCGATAGAGAATTGCATTACCATTTCACAAAAATTATGGTGAGGAAGGCTTTAAACTTGGTTAATAATGTTACAGCGAATCTTCGAAAAATCTGTGAATGGTATGTATCTTGCAAGTACATAATGAAATTATTTATGAGGACGGCCATTGGGTTGTGTGTTAAGTGTAAAAAATAAAGCCAAAGAATTGTGAGCGGTAATAATATCCCGTAAAAAGGAAAACATCTGAGAATGTGTTGAGTGTGCACGTTGCTCGATAAGGATTGAAACTTTAGAGGAGGGTGGGGAATACGATGACATTTTAAACAACCATTGAACCAACTTTCACCAATCGTTCTACTAAGTAAGATTACGAGAAAGGATAATCTGTGTAAATCCGTAATGATCTTGTGGTGCTCGTAATTGTGTCACCTAGTGAGGGACAAGAAGAGCAATATAGCGTGTCTTTCCATTGGGTTCTCTCATCCGTGTGTAATTGAAAAAAATAAACCAATCTATTTTATTTACTTTTTTAACTTCTAATGAAGTGTCAACGTCATGCTATATAAACAAGAAGTCCCTCCAAGAAAAACTAAAGACTTTTAGAGAAATTTAATTTTAAGAACGATTCTTAATCAAATGGTTCGTTTTTCGAAAGTAAAAAGGTGAGAACGCTAACTTATTTTTTATTAATTACTTAAAAATAAAATAAATGAGAGTTGTCTATAAAGTCAAAATAACTAAGTTAAAAATTCATTTCCAATAAACTTCTGCCTTAGTGTCTGTTTTTTAAGCTTTCATCGACAAAATAATAAATAAATTATAAAAAGCATGTTTTGTTTTTTTTTGTTTTTAGAAACAGTGTGTAGAAATGTAAGCAAGGTTTTTCCTAACGATACAACAGTGTGTACTGTTAGTCAGTGTACCCTGTAAAGAAAGACAAAAAATAAAAATACCAAAAAAGAACTGTAATAGGACGGTTTTCAGTGCCACCAAATACACACATTGAACAATAACGAATTCATTCTTTAAAAAGGTGAGGCTGAATTAGAAGAAATAAATATAAAAACCAAAACAAAAAACTAAAGAGCAACATTTTTCAAGATCTGAGTTTTGACAAAATATCCATTCAAGTTAAATTTAAAATCCTGAACGTTTTACGATTCATTATTAATTTCAATAAAATTTTTACTTACGCAATTTTGATTTTTTTTAAGTTTAGAAAAAGCAAATCGTTTCTTTATTTCAAAATATTTTTTAAAATAAATCAACAGATCACTTGCTTTCCTAAATGTAAAAAAAAAAGAAGACTAATTGAACAAAAAAGATATTTTTTTTCTTTTAAAGAGGTAACCACGATAAAACCTAAAAAGTATGACAGAATTTTTTTAAAGTTAACATTTTCACTTAGTTAAAAGTAATAAACCGGAATTTAAAAAAATTGTATAAAAAGAGAATTGGTCATTCTTTAAACTCGAAAATAGTAAACAATTGTGAGCACGCCTTCCTTAAGAACTTTTGACAACAACACTGAAGTCGTGATTTTTTTAAGTTGAAAATAGCAAAGAAAAAGCACAATCCAATACATTTTTTAGTCCTGTAGCTTTTTATTTTTAAGCAAGATGTATAATTGGTCATGTAATCATTTATCGCAATATATTTTTGTACAAAAAAAGAAAAAAAAGGAAATTTGTCTACCTACATCTTAGTCAAAAAAAAAAAAAAATTCAGAAATCGTTTTCGTCTCTTAAGCGAGTTTAATTGTCCTACCTAATTTACTAATAATTCTGCTCCCTAAAAATAAGGATAGCCGTCCAAAGTTTTAAAATTTATTCGTAACAATAAAAGAGCCCAATCGATGTCATGCTCTAACTACAAAAATCTCAAACAAAGAAATGAGATAAGTCACTATTCGATTCGTTGGTAATTGTTTTTTTTTTTGTTTGTTTTTACTCAAATTATAATACTTACAACAGTCCACCTTTGTCGACTGCTTCCTACATCATTGACAAAAAATGTTCGTGTCAAAACAAAAGGAGATCTAAATGAAGAAGTAGCTAAATTTTAAAAGCTTTATTTAAAAAAGTAAATCTGGAAGACCTTAGGATTTTTTTTTTATCTAAAAGGGGAAGAGACAACCATTCTTCTTGGGAACAGTATTTTCTGCTGTTGCGTTCCCTAAAAACGTACTCAATGTTTAAGGTTAGGTAAATAATTGCATTAATTTTTTTTTACACTTCTTAGTGTTTGTTATTGTTATGTATTTCATTTTTTTTAAATATTATTAGTCATGCGAGTAACATGCTAATAATTACAACTAGATATGAATGACAGAATAATGTTTATGAATGATACATAAAAGTGGAAAACCAAAACAGAGAAATGACAATATTTTTTTTTAAATCATCAAAGATATGAAATCTTAAAATTGCTAAAATCCTCCTGACCGTAGCTTTTTAACAAATAGTTTACTACACATCCAACCTAGGCGATAATTAGAGACAATCACTTAATTTACTCAAATACAAATAATAATAAAATAAGTCAACAGTGTGTAAATTCCATTAAAAAAATTACAAACTAAGATCCCACAAAAAAAAACTACTTTTTTTTACGTCAAATAGAAAACGCACGAAAAAAGTTACGTTAAAGACGAAACTGAAATGAAATCAGATTTTATTCTAAAATTATGTCCAATATAAATAATAGAGCAATAATGCCATATTCGTCGTCAAAGAGAATTCGTAAATTTTACTACATTTTTTACACATACAAATGTAGGCACACTTTCCATACAACTCCAATGGTTGGTTGGAGACATCCCCATTTTTCCAAAAAATTAAAGTAAAGAAATATATACAATGGGGGGGGTTTGTTTACGGTAGTGACAAGCCTACCTTGGCACGTTGCATCACTGCCATGACCTGGAGTTTTTCGGCCTCCGTAAGTGCCGAAAGATCTGGCAGTGCAAAGGTCAAGTTTTTCTCTGGCGCTGCCATCTTCTCTTCCATTCTAACAACTTCCGCCGTGTTATTGGCAGTCGTCATGCGACTAACAAGGGGACATAATTCTCACAGTCTCCAAACCACAATACGATAGGAAGCTCTCCTATGCCTGCAACACCTTTTTGGATCACAGTCACCTGACTCAATCACGTGACACAACAGCCAATTTTGTGGGTGTGGTGAGAATTTCTTATACATGACTTATCGCCCCACATCTGACAGAAAAAGAAACATTCGTGTTTCCAATTTTAATTTTTCCGATGTAAATGGTCTTCAGACAGTATAAAATTTTTCAATTTTTATCTATATCAAAACAACAGCCTATTTTTTAATTAAATTCTAACTAAAACACTTATACAGCTATTAAAAGTAATTACAATTGAAATATTGTTCAACAAACGGATGATTTCACTGAATGTATTACATTTTTACCCAAATGATCAATAAAATTAAAAAAAGAAGCATTTCTAAAAGATTTTAAATTTCATTGTTCCTGAGGAAAAGTTTAAATCAAATTAAAGAGTAAGTGAATTAGATTTATTGAAAAAAACCTTTGGGCGTGTATATTTCTAAAGTAGAGTTGGAAAAAGTGGCTTAGATTGACAATGGGAGAAGAAAAATGATAATGCTAATTTTTCTTTTATTTATTAAACATGCAAAATGTCATTAATGGGTAATTTTTCATAAACTTTTGAGACAAATCTTTAAGAGAACTCAATTTTATATTTTTAGTTCAATCTCTGTAATTTTAACAGGTATTTTCTCCTCAGTATACAACATTTTTCAAAGATGATTTATTCCTATTTAAAAAAAAAAAAAACCTGTTTTAATTCTACAAATATCTAAGTTCAACTACTTTTTTGAATATATATCACTAACATGTCATATTTAAAAATTATGAGTATTCATTACTTAACTGTAAAGAATAATTATTATTTGAAATTTTGGGAAGAGTCATTGTCATTGTTCAACAACAAATTCTCATTCAGGATAAGAATGTTAATCCAAAGAATTCACAGAATAAAGTATAAAACATGTTGATTATCAAATAATTTTCTTTTAATGAAATTTGTACAATTTTAAGCTTTTCAAAAGCTTATAAGATTTTCATAAGATTGGCAGACACAATTATGATAAATATTACAATGGCAATTCAAATGTCACATTTGTTTTTGTGGCTTTAAGGTTTAAACTGACTTTAGAAGCTTCATAATCCAAGCCTTATTCTGTATTTAGCAATCTGCCTACTTGTTGAAGGTGTCCTTACATTATATTAAGTTTGACTTAGATGATATCAACTGGTGTCCAAATCCAAGATTATATTTAAAATTATATAACAGCTAGTAGCATTCTGAAGTTCTCAAAGGAATAACTTGTATTATTCTGTATAGTATTCAAATTGTTAACTTCATTTTTATTATTAAAATATGAAAATCATTTCAGAAGTAGTTTCCTAGTTTATTTCAGTTCATAACATCAAAGGCAGATAGTGGCAGTAAAGATTGAACCTTCATGCCAATAACCATAATATTTTGCCTTGTTACAGATAGCAGTTGAGTGTTAATTTGGTAAAATGGCATCTGACATGAAAGTAGAGGTGTTTCATTAAATTCTTCCATGTGGAAAAAAATTGCAAAGCATTGACATTGATTAACACTTGCTGAACATTTATAGAGACTAAACAGTGGCTGTGAGCACAGCTAAGTAGTAGGTAATGTGTTTCAGCAAAGGCAAAAGTGTGACAAGCAGACCAAAATGAAAAGCCTTTCTTCATCAATGGTAAGAATACAGACTGTAGTTGTTGCTCTATTCCAGAGTATTATTTGTTTTACCTGTTGTAATTTCTGTGGAAATAAATAGGAGGCATTACTTTTGAAGTGCCCCTCTATTTTGCATGATACATGGTTTTTTTGTTTTGCTTTTATATCAAGCCAGACCTCAAATAGAACTCATATATACAATCCATTGTTAGAAATGGTGAATAGTTGGTTCCCTCTACTGCTCCAGTAAGTACTTGACTCCTCCTGATATGCTCTACAAGAGTCAGATCAGTCTGAAAATGGAGTATCACTGCCATAGTTGGACTAGAGCTGCCTAATTTTCATTTTCTAGCCTTGATAGAGTCCAAAAAATGTCTGCACAGCCTTATGAGTGATGAATTATTTTTTACCTTAAAGTGCTTTTCCCACAGACAAAATATTACAAGCCTCTCACTACCTTATCGCTATAGCCATGGAAAATGTTCAGACAAGATACATTTCTTAGTTCCACCAACTCTAACCTTCACAGCTAAAACCCACCATGCCACATACACTGAGGTAAACCACTGATTATATATATTTTTCATGTTAACATGTTTACTTGGAAAAAAAATCTTTGAGAAGTTAATTCCACTCAAATCGCTTTTTTTCTTTTATCTTATGACATCAGTTCCCACCATTTATCAGTATATTTGATTTGGGTGTATATTGGACCTAGTATAATGATTAAAAGAAAATGCACAGAGGGTTAATAAATACAAAACAAATTTTTATATATACAATGTAATAATACAAATGATAAGTTGAAAGTTAAAGTTTCAACAGTTCCAGTGTTAAAGTTCTGATGCATACGAGAGAAAAAGAAAAAATCTGGAAGCAAATAAATATATATGTATACATATGTATGGATGTATACAAATGCAGTAGATGCCACCTGGCAATGTGGTGAAGGAAGGTATGTTTGTTTTCAGTGTAGCAAAGGACGGTTTAGCCATCTAAACTTATTCAAAGACTCAGTACATTTAAAATGATTAAAAAATTATTGATATGAAAGTCTTTACTGGAGACCATGCCCAATAAATTAGTTAATGGCATAAATTATTTTAAGCTTAGGAAAATTAACTCAACTCTCCAAGATTTTGTTCACCACTGCCTTAGCCAAGTATTGAACTCACATCACTGGATCCAATCAGCACTTTTATCCACTGGGACATGTGTCCTTAAGGACGTCAGTGTATGAATTTTTGGAACTTATAAACTTAATGTCCCAGTAATCATTTTTTACTAGAGGTCATATTACAATTTAGAATAGAATTTTATCTGGGCCAGTGACTTTTTTTCAAGTCTAGAGACTTCTCTTACTGAAATGAGTATATTACTGAGATTGTGCTCAGTGAGACATGGGAAATTGGGGATGGGATGGTCATTGTTCTCTAATGTTGAGTTTGAGGCAAAGATTGAAGCAAAGATCTTCACCATGTCTGTCAAGGAAGATATTACCTTGGGTCCCATTTATAATAGTGGGCACATCTGGTTTGCCTAAGTTCATAATTTGCTTGGTGATCTTTCAGAATTTGTGGGATCCAGTTTGTTTCTTTTCATACTTGGCCTGGACAGCTTGCAAGTAGCTGCAGTTGGCATTTTCCAGAACTCTCTGACAGCAATTGTGGGCAGTTCTAAAGGAAGGTAAGGGCCAGATTACACTGCTCCTTGCAATAGATATTGAGTTAGTGGTTCTGGTGAGCTATGGATGCAGCACATTCAGGGGTAAACTAGGGCTGTTTGTTTTTTGTTGGAATGGGGGGGGGCATAAAACACTACATTCCAGAAAGTATCCATTCAGAGATTAGGGCCACAGTTTTGGGGTCAGTATGCTTGCAGATGGTTGGGAGAGGAGCTTCTGTCACATAAGACAAAAAACTGTCCCAGTCTGCCTTTGCAAAATTAAAAACCATTCTATGGAACAGTAAATCCGGCAATGTCATTAGTTTGTAATCAATCTGGACACTGACTATGAATATGTCTATAAGGTTTTGCTAAGCATTTGTCAATGCAGGATGTTAGATAAATGGTTGAGGAGGTTTGCCTACTGTCATGTCGCATCTGGAACTTAGGTGGACTCAATGGTCTGGGTTAGATCATAGGCAATAGAGAATTTTGTTCAAATGGGCTAACCACACTTTGTGGTGAACATTGAAGTCACTGTATATGTGAAAGCTGGCCAATGGAATTCAGTGAATATATTGTCAATCCTCTCTGATATTCAATCAAAGATTACCAACCTTTCATCTTGAGGCTGATACAGAGCAAAGACAAATGTGGTACTATGGATAAGTGCCACATGGAAGCACATATACTGGAGATCAGGCTCCTCATTTTTTGTGCCCCTGCCACAGGAAAACCAGTCCTTGATGTAGACACCAAGGACTTGGCTGTGGCAATGTAGGTGGTTGTATTTTGTTATAATGGATGAATAGCCCAGGATTGTGAGCTCCTGCAATGGGATTGAGGTATTGATTTCTATTTCAGACAGGAAAAGGAAGTTAGGTTTAAACTGAAGAAGATGAACTACTTCTGAAAAGTTGGAACGTAGACTCCTTACCTTAGTGTAGAAAATGGTATACCTAGGGTTTACTTTTTTTTTTGAGATTGGGTTTGCTAGTTTTGTTTGTTTTCAATATGATTGCTTTCGTGTTTGCTTTTGGTTAGTTTGGTGGATGACTAGTAAGCAGTGAGACACACACCCATTAGAGATGCACACATAACCTGGGTTGACTTGTCTGGAGATACTGCCATAACATTATACATCATCAAGAAGCCACACCAGAGACTACTGCATTGTCCAGAAACCATTCACAAAATGGTATTACAGTAGCCCTGATATCATACACCTGCTGATAGAATAGCCTCCTTCGAAATTACTTGAAGGTTCAGATCCCTGATTATTAGAATGATAACACCAAAACCCAGAAAATATTTAGCTCCATCACCTTTAATGAGGGAACAAATAACCCAGAAAAGATTCAGGTGTGATACTCTGAGTGTACATGTCTCATTCGTCTAGAAATCAAGGTAACTCTCCTTGGGTCAGAAACATTATACCAACCAGAAACTTAGAGTACCAAGGCAAGCTTGCTCATATACATGAGGACTAAAATACCCATCAGAAAAAGGAAGGGTAACGAGGGTTACTTGGGGGATGCATGTGCATCCCTTACCCTCAATTTCATACTTAAGTAAGTGCTTTTAAATACTAGCTTTTGCCTGGAAATTTTATGTAAC